ACCGCTCGAACATCATCTTCGCGGGTGAGGATAAGTGGTCTCTGGACCCGCGGGTGGAGCTGGTGACTCAGGGTCAGCTGGAGTACAGTCTGCGGATACAGAAGGTGGATGTGTTCGACGAGGGTCCGTATACCTGCTCCATCCAGACCAAACAGCAGCCCAAGACGTCACAGGTCTATCTCATCGTTCAAGGTGAGCGCCGTGTGATTGACAGGCCGTCAGACCAATGACAGCTCATCCTCTCTTACTCCTTTATTTCATTACTTTATCCTTGTTATTAAATTAAGAAGAAAGATGCAAACAGTAGGGCAAATGCAATATAAGAGCGACACATGAAATAACCGGCTTTAATTTTCCAGCTACAGTAGGTCTGTTTAGCAGCAGCATTCAAGTAAGAAATTGAATAATCAAATGTAAAGATAAAACATTGCACAGTCTTCACTGTATTATTCAGTCAACAGCAGTGAGAGATTTACTCTTTTGTTGATTGATTGACATTAAAAACACAGACGACTGCTGTCACTTTAAGACTGAATGCATGGATCCAGAGTATAACACACATCTGATATTCTCACAACTGTTTGCATTTGCTGTGTGATAATGGTTAAACTGTTCATCACGATTCACTCACAAATATTGTCATTTTAGAATTGTTTATATTTCATCAGAATTATAGCACAAATCAAGAGAACATCAACATGGTTTGCATACAGATTTAGATGCAGCAAATAGACTGGCTGTATGACACTATTATTTGAGCAGAAAACCTCAATAGAGATCACTAAACTCCAGCTTACATGTTTGTTTTTTCCATAATGCAGAGAGCGCATGTGTGAACGGTTGCCAGGTTGGGAAGATAAATGTATCGAGATGAGCTCTGATTGGGGATTTAAACTCTTGGCATCTGGCAACCGCAACCATGAAAGCTTGTGGAGGCTCGTTACCAATGCAAGACGACGCAAATGCAAAATAAATGGATAAATGTGGAAAATATCGCAGACGAGTAAGCTTAATAAATCAAGAGAAGCATAAATTGTGATCATGATTTAAATATAATTCATTGTGCAGCTCGATTATGTGAAGCTTATGTGTATTTCACAGATTAAGCACAATAAGACAGGAGCAAAATCGTTGAAAAGTTTAAACTGATCATTTTTCAAAGTGCATGCAAATAATGAACTTTGCGGTTTCGCACGATACTTATGATCTCTGTGTGACTGCAGAGAAGGCATTTTATTCATTCATGATCTAATATGCGTAACCTAAGTAAAAATGTGCAGTGTAAATTAGGGTTGGGCCGATAGACGATAAGTTCATCACCGATAGCTGATAGACATCACGATGTTGAGCCGGCATCGTGACCCCCCCGCATCCCAATACCGTGTTCGGAAAGAAAATGACGTGTAGGCGGAACCCCTAAAGGGAATAAATACGAGATGGGAGGAAAATATATATTTCAATATTTTTCCTCGCAGTTATATAATTGGGTAATTATACTACATATATATTTCGGCATCAGGGGGCTGCTATTATACCTGGCATTGAAACTGGCATCGCTTTTAGTTTCACTTTCACTTTCGAGATTGCACGTACTCTGTTTATACTATGCTCTGTTTATGTGGTAAGTGAAATTTTATGTCGCGCCGCATCAGCTAAAGTCTGTCTACACTGGACGTGACAAAGCGACTGTTGAACATCATTTGAAATTTGTGTCAGCACGTACGTCATAAACAGAACGCGGCATCAGTTTACTGTCAGGGATTTGTCGTGTCGCGCCGCATCCAGTGTAGACAGCATCACTGATTATAATGAGTTCTATAAACTGATCTATATAGGCTATAATAAATCTCTATTATAGGTCAGTGGTTCTATTAGGGTGACCATACGTGCCATTTTTCCCGGATGCGTCCTGGCCAGGATTTGTTTTGGCTTTGTTTTCCTGTTTTCATGCTTGCTGAAGGTAATGATCGAAAAGTAGTTTGACCAATAACATGCAAGCATTGTACATAATGGACCAATCATGGCGTGTGAGAACTGAGAAGGTGGGATCTACGGTCAAAGCGATGCAATTACGCGTACATATTAGGTGTGTTCGACTTAAAAGCAGCGCGGCTCAGTGTTTGACATCAAAGTACCTCGAGAGCGTTTCGAAAGCATAACCGTCTGTATGGTACTTTGATGTCA